ATGACGTTTTTTATCTCACCCTGTACGGGGTGACTTCCCAAAAAAGTTGAGCAATTTAAAAAAGTATATACACATTATCCAAAATTGTCACCTCCAATGATTATATCAGACTAAGGTCATAAGTTAAATGGAAAATATTGTTCTATTCCATTGGTAGCTCTCCTATAGAGGTTCAATATTATAAATGATAATAAAGGGATAAAGGCTGAGGGTATCAATCTGTCGGCCGACTGACACTTTTTTAAATTAAATTCGGGTTATCCATAAATGTGTATGTTGAAAACCGGGTTAAATTCATATTTTTCAGATAACTTAGTTATCCATGTACTATTGTAATGAAATCCAGTTTATCCGCAGATTTCTATATTGAAAACTGCGTTATCCGCTTATTTTTCTAATAAAAGCTACGATATCCAAGGGTTTAAAAAAAGCTACCCCTAAATTTATATATTTAAATATAAATTTGTAAAACAATTTGAAACATACATATTATAACAAAATCCTTTCTGTATAAGAAAGTGAATAAAAATCTACTTATTTTTGCCAATACATTTTAAAATTTTGAACATACCAATTTTCCCAAGCGTTGTTGCTACCTGTATTCTTCTACCATGATTGTGCCAATAGAAATTAAGGAAGCTTTTCTGCTCTTCTTTTGAATAAAAACTTTTAAGAAACCATTAAATATCCAACTAGGAGTTCCCATTAATGTTGATGTTTGAAAGCTTTAAACAATATTTTAATAAAATAATCTCACTCCTGAAAGCTTTCTAAATTATGTTACTCTAAAGCAGCAATAACAAAAGCTTTTTAAGGATTCTTTATTTTTGAAAATCTGAAGATTTTGAATTTGTTTCATTAACATTTTCTACAAAAATTAGAGATTTATACATCCATCCCTAACATTTTCGCCCCCACTGTTCCACCGTAATGCCGACTATGCAAATATTTATAAAATGAAACTTGGCCATAATATGATGGAGCACAGCTACATACAAACAAAAAAACGGAGTCATTAATTTCTGTAACAAACGGCACTATTTTTCTTGTTCACAATATTTGTGGCTGAGGCGGCTGGCTCCGATTCGATCTCTCACTCCCTCCCTGTACGGCATTCTTCCTTTCCACCTCTCTTGTTTTTGTTGATACAACTTCTGAATTGGATTTTTTATTTTGTTTTTATAGCTTTTGGATAGGGTTGTAACAATCATGACCGCAACATAACAGATTGGCTTTTTATAGCTGATGCTTGTTGTTGTTGTTGCTCTCGATGTTGTTGTTGTTGTTGGAGACGAATGGTATTTGCTGTTGAATGGTTCATTGGATGGTTGGATGGATGGCTGGCTGGCGGAATGAATGGTTCATTGTGCAAAGTACAAGAGTTACGCATATCGACGGCAACATTTGCTTTGCAAAGAAGGGTAGGCAAACGCTGCTTGCAGACGCCAATGGGGACAGACAAACTTTTTTTCAGACACGGCTGCCAGTCATGCCGAGTGCACTTGTCTCCATACATGAATGTTTGCAACTTGAATAGTATTGACTACTACTGCATCGGTACTTGAATGTAACAAACCGAGCTAACACCGACAGACCAAGTTGGTTTTAAATATTTTTTGCACTGCCTCTCTCTCCCCCTCCCTCATGCTTTGCCATGCTATTGCAGAAAGAACATCAATCATAATATTTTCTCAATATTTTTTGTTTGGAGCCTTTGGTTTTTGTTTGGTCTTCTATTTGTTAAATAATTAATTGAATGGCTTTTGGTTATGGTAATTGAAAGCTGAGAGAGAGAGGAAAAAACTAGTTGAAGAGTAAGAGAAGGTATGCCATAGATCAAACATGAAAGGATAAACAAATTGTGGGCCAGATTTTGTAAAGGTAAATTTTATGAAACTTGCATGGAAAAATATGAAACATGCATGGAAATTATTAAGGCCACACAAAATGGAGGAGAAGATTGCCAATATAAATGGAAATTTTTATGAGCAAAACAAAAAAAAAGCCCGCTTTGATTTTTTTATTAAAAAATCTAAATTAAAAATTCCTTTTCCATCTGGACTTCATTAAAATTTCTTTTAACAAAATTTAGTCAAGCACAAAGATGGCATTGCCGCCTCGCTATGTTGGTGGTCCGCAGACACAGACACAGACACAGACAACGACGACAACCAGAACCCACAAAATAATGATATATTTATTATAAACTCACATAATGCTGCTTCCAAGCTTCACCTAATTAATATGCCAATACACGTTTCCAAATAACTTGATAAGACTCCCGGGTAAGTCTGTAATTATTTGCTTTGGCTTTTTTGAAAAAAGAAAAAAAAAAAACAAAAAAATCTCGGACAAAGAATAACAAAAAGTCCCTTTTGTCTGGCCGAGTCAACAAACAAAATCCCACTCTTGGAGGAACTTCTTCGTTCGATTTCCATGATTCTTCCCACAACCACTTGAGTTCCAACACAGCGGTGGTCTCTATTCTCATAGAATGATTTACTCCAGGCCACAGAATAGGGTAATAGGAAGCGGTACCACTCATAGAATTTACTGTTTGTTTTCATTTTCTCTTGTCATGCCCCGATCCAATTGAAAATATGGTCGTTTATCTATTATCACGACTTGATGGGGGTAATTGAATTACCACATATGACTTTTTTCTAAACTCTTGGACTTGTTGGGGCCATCAACAATTAAAATGCAAATTTGAGGACATGAAAAAAAATAATGTTTTGTGTGTCTAAATAGCTCTTGTTGTTTTGAATTTCTACTCGAAAAAAAAAAAAAACAGAAGTATGGGAAAATTATAAATTATTTATCCCCCCATTGATATAATATGAATAAATAGCCATTTTGAAAATCGAATTATTCGTATAATTTTATTTTGAAAACCGCGTTATGAGTTAAGTTTTGTTATGGAAATCCTATTATACATTTAGTTATCCTGTACAATCCGTGTTTTTCCTTCAGTTTCCTTATGAAAACAAGGATATTCTTGAAGAATTCTTCCTAATAGTTTTTTTTTTTTTATAAAAACCACGGCATCCGATAAATTTTGATATTAAAACCACATTATCAGTCCGAATGCTTAATGAAATACATTTTTTTTTAAGTCAGAATTGTCAGTAAAATCTGATATTATTCAATCCCTTTTGTGCGAAGAAACGCGTCAGGTTGATTACAATTTGTCATAGAATAATTAATAAATTCATGCTCATCTATACAGGGTGAAATAGAAAAAACTGCAACAAAGTCAAACGCCATAATTTTTACATTTTTTTTAAATTTTATTGAATGAAAGCAAAAAATGTCGGAAATAGCACCAATTTTTTGAATAAGTTTAGATTTGTTCGAATTGGCGGAATTTTGGCCCATTTCCGGCGAAGCACTTTCTTGAGGTGATCGACACTTTGGTATTTTTTAGTGCCAACCTTGCTTTCCAAACTACTCCAGACACAATAGTCCAACGGAATGGTGTCCGGAGATTTTGGTGGCCATTGTGCGCTAGGAATGAAGCGAGGAACCTCATTTTGTAAACATTCTTGGATGGAATGTCCAAGGTCTGCCGCCAAAATGTTTGCGTGCTCAAGGCTTTAATACACCCTCCAGAATATTTTCGCAATTATATTCGGCATTACTTCTGAAGCCACGGTCGGCAATCGGCTATTATGGCGGCCCACACCATCACCATGGCCGGCGCTTCAGTTCTGGTGGGCCACCGAAGGTGCACATTTTCAGCTGACCTCTTTGGCAAGTAAACACAATCATTTTGTTTCTTTACAAACTGCTGGACAACGAATGTTTTCTCATCGAAGAAAACCAAATTCGGAAGTTCACCACTTTTGGCCGAGTGAAGCAACTCTTGAGCTCTTTTGAGTCTATTTTCTTTCTGTTACGGTGTAAGTTCTTGCACTTTTTGGAATTTCAATGGCTTTACCCCGAGCTCATTTTTCAATATTTACCGAATGGAATATTGCGATATGTTCAGCTTACGAGCCATTTTTCGAACAAGTCGCTTCATTACTTTTCGAACCATTTCTGTTGATGTTAGTGTTTTCTTAGTCCACTTCCTTGACGTCGGGCTACGCTACCAGTATCACGGTAACGAGGGAAGGTACGAGACACAAAAGAATTATTCACATTTAAATGCTGGAGTGCTCTAATGATAGCCACTAGAGGGTTTCCAGCCAAATATAAAGAAATCACACTATGACGCTTGGATTCCATCACGAATAAATGTTTTTCTGGAAAACTCTCATAAAAATGCTTTTGTACGTTTATAAACAATATAATGAGCTATCACTGGAATAAATTTAACAGCTGTCGGACGATTGGCTTAGAAATGACAGCAGTCTGAAGTTGGTTGCAGTTTTTTATCTCACCTTGTATATGTACACACAACGAGTGGCTTAGAAATGACAGCAGTCTGGAGTTGGTTGCAGTTTTTTATTTCACCCTGTATATGTACACACCCGTAACACCGGCATAATCTGAATTCTATTACAGCGAACGTTTTGTTAAACACAAAATTATGCTTAATTTAATTATTCTTCAAATCGTTTCACCCCAAACAAAAAACAAGACTTTTATGAGGTTTCTCCTCATTGTTGTGGCTTTTCGCCGAAAATTTAATTAGTCAAATCGCCGAAACAAAACACCCACACACAGAGATCGTTTTTCCATTTCACTAAATTTTATGTTTTGTTCTTCAAGCATTTTTATGATTCAATTTCATTTGGTTTCCAAGTATTTACAAGCGCTAAAACAAAATGTTTAACACACCACAAAAACCCGAAATAAAAGAAAAAAACCGGGGCGACCAATAATAAAAAATACCAAAAGGATTTACGACTAATTAAATTTTGTGCACATCAGGGGCCAAACAACAACAAAATGTCAATAAAAATGTTGATATTTTTGTTGTAATTTGTTGTTTACTAATTAATAATAATGGCTGTAGTAAATTTTAATTTTGTTATTCCATAACAGTTACTTACCGTTAACGTTGCCGACCAAGAGGTTTCACCACTTTCCGATGAGGCCGTACAGGTATAGAGGCCAGAATCGCTTAGTTGGAGATCTAAATTGGGAGATAGAGAAAAAGAGATGAAATTTATGAAAATTAGATATTGAAAATTGCGACATACAAAATTAAATTAAGATTCTTAAAAAGAATTACTAATGATAATTTTTCTATAAATATATATTAAGTGATATTTTATTTATTTATTAATTTTTTTTTTTTTTTTTTTTTTTGGAAATGTTATTCGTGATATTTATTGAGAAAACTTTATTAGTAACAAAATGTTACTAGACAAGTAAAATAGTATCAGTCGGTTTTTCCGACAGATGTATACCCCCAGCCTTGAGTCATGATTATTCAAACTGTTGACAATTTATGTGGGATGTTCCGATGCAGTTGGCCAATATTGACCAATTCGTATCTTACCTAAGACTGATATGAATATTGCAATGTGCCAGATTTGGAATATATCGAATTCTTCCTATACTTTATATGAGGTATGTCCAAATTTTTGGAAAATTTGAAAATATGCGTGAGGTATCAGATATAGCGGACAAAATGAATCCTTTTTCAAACTTTATCTAATACAGATAAAAATATTGATATGTGCAAAATTTGAAGAAAATCGACCATTTATACAGATCTTGTGTTGATAAAAATATTGAGATGTGCCAAGTCTGAATGGAATCGGATGCTAATTTTGCGCTTTATGATTTCATGGATACTCAAAATTTTGACCCTTTGTGGGGGAGATACCAGAAGGAGTACACCGATATATCCCGTCTTCACACCAAGCCTTGGGTTAATAGAAATATTGTGACGTGTGTAGTTTGAAGAGATCCGGATGCTTATTTCGGATTTTATGATCGTTTTGGTTATTCAAAGCTTTGACCCTTTGTGTGAGAGGTACCAGAATTAATGGTCGAATCTCTACCATATTTATAACAAATCTAGTGCTGATATGGAGATGTGCGAAGTCTGAAGAGAATCAGATGTTAGTTACGCGTTTTTTGAGCTTCATGGATATTAAAAATATTAACTCTTGTAGATGAGGTACCAGAAGGAGTGGACCGATATATTCCATCTTCACACCAGACCTTGGGCTAATAAAAATATTGTGATATGTGTAAATTGAAGACAGTCGGGCTTTAACATCACATTTTATAAGAGTTATAATTATTCAAAATTTTGACCCTTTGTGGGGGAGGTACTTGATGGAGTGAACCCATATTGTCCATTTTCGCACATGACCTAGCACTGATGCAAATATTAGGATTTACAAAGTTTGAGCAATATCGGATTATCCTTCCTATTACTATGTAGTAAATTAAGTACTTTGAAAATGTTAACATTTTGTGGGCGAGGTATCAGATGGAGTGGACCTATATTGCCCATCTCAGAACTAGATCTAAGTTTGATAATAATATTTCAAGTTCGATACTCCCATCGAGAGTTATCGTGCGCACCAGCCAGCCAGACGGACGAACGGACGAACGGACGGACGGACATCGCTAGATCGACTCCTAATGTTCTGAAACGGATTTGGTCCAAAGATACCTAGGTTTTAAAACTGTTATTTCGATTAGGCACGTTTTGGCCGTATCAAATGAAATATATCCTCTATAGCCATATGGCTAAAAAATTCACTGGTAACTATTCCCACTGGTGAAAATTCTCTAATAGTAAAATATCACTAGTGTCAATCTTCTCATATGTCCAATATCAAAAGTGTTACTTTTCTTACAGAATGGTAGTAAAGTTTTCTCAGAAAAATATCACTGGAAATAATTTTGTAATAGCGACATTTGTATTTTATCACTTTCCTATAAAAAATATCACAAGTTAAAATTCGTCATTGCAAAATAAGCTCTCATAATTTGCACAAAAATTTCCATTCAAACACTTTGAATTTTGATTTTTCTCCTCTCAGCCCCCTCTGTTTTCCATTCACTACTTACCATCAATCCGAAGAGAACCACCCTGAACAATGGTATAACGATTACCACTTTGTAGGGTGGTGCCATCACGATACCACTTGACGCGTGGTGTTGGATGTCCTGAAGCACGGCACGGTAACATGGCAACACTGCCCTTGGGTAGAGTTTGATTTGAAGGACCAATTTGGATGATGGGCGGTGGGGTATCATCTACAGACGTAACCTATGGCAATGATTGAAGTAAGATTTAAATTAATACAAAGAAAATGAGACAAGCTTTTTTGCAAAACCAAACCACCACACAAGCCTTCACAAGATGTGTGGGAGTGTATTGGTTTGTTATTCCCCGGTATGTGTGGTTGTATGTGTTTGTTAAAAGGATCCTGACAACCATCATCGTTGCCTTGTTAACGCCAACAACAACAACAACAACAACAACAGCGTTCTTCAGCTTACCTGTAAAAATGCTCGAATTGTTGTGGAATCGACAACACTAAAGGCCGAACAGACATAATAGCCAGCATCATCCTTTTGTACTCCGTTGATTTGGAGAGTGCCTTCGAGTGAAACATGCAAGTGTCCATATGAGTTGTTGGGAAACATAAGAGTGCTGGAACCCTCCTTGGTCCAGAACACAGAAGGTGGTGGATTGCCATCGGCCACACAGGGGAATAGGGCGACACCATTCAGGCCGACTTTTTTGTCTTGGGGCTTGACAATAAAGGTGGGTGGTGCTGGAACGAGAAGAAAAACGAGAGTAATACATTAATTAATAGTGAGGTAGATGGAGAGGCCAAGTAAGGCCAACCGCCATTTAACTTACCATGCACAGTCAATGAGGCCCGGGCACTAATCTGACCCACCGAATTGAGAGCCTCACACACATAGGTGCCCTCATCCTCGGGCACAATGTTGAAAATCTCTAAACCTTTGTCATCCGGTTGTATGCTGACACGGGAAACTGGTATATTACCCTCCTCCTTTTTCCACAAAATCTTGGGTGGTGGATCACCACCCACAGAACAATGAAAGGTTGCCGTTTGGCCAGACAGCATGGTTAAGTCTTGGGGTTTCTTCATAAAATAGGGTTTAACTGCAACGACAGAATGAAGGAGATGAAAATAAAACAAGAGCAATTAAAGTATTTTTTTTTGTTTCTGAAATTAATAAAGTTCTTTAAGCCTTGTGCCCTGGGACAAGTATATACTTTAGCTGGGTTGAAGAGTTTTTGGCTCTTGTGGTGGTCGTCGGTCGGTTGGTCGTTTTACAAAAATAGAATGACACTTGAAATGTTAATATTGCTTAAGGTAAAGTCGTAAACTTTTCCTTAACATTGTCAGCTTCTTGTTTTTAATTTTTATACAGCACTCCCCAATGGTCCAGCTAGACAGGTTATTGCTCACAGCTGGGAAAGGGATAGAAGAAAAACTCTCCCACACACATACAAAGTTTAAGGAAATAAATGAGTCTCAAGTTGTGGTCATCTAAGGGGGAAATTCCGAGCAAAGGCAAGGAGCAGCCACACAACCAGCTGCCATCCAACTCTGACCACGAGAAAAATAAGATTGCAAAAATTATACCACTAATGACTTACTAAGACTTATTGTTTTAAAATTTTTATTATGCGAAACAAAAAAGAAGACGAGAAAAAAGCCAGGAAATGTGCAGAAACTTTGCTCGTAGTTGCCTGGCGGAGTAGAAGAGAATGGGAGACAGATGCCACACATATAGTTTTCCTTAATGAAATGTTGTTGCAACAAAAGAGGGGAAGAAAACAAAGTTGAAACTATTTGTTTATGTCACCGGAACAAGTGGTCGGTCAACAGATACAATTTTTCAAGAACATTAAAACTTTGTATCCGGCTGTTGTTAACACTTCACAAACAATGCTAAAGAAAAAGAAAATTTCATTTAAAATTTGTCAAAACTTGTTGAGAAGAGATATGAGGAAAAAAATGTAAAAGTGATGTTTTGGTTTACAAAGAAAAAAAAAAAAAAAAACAAAAAATGTTGCATAATTTTGACGATGACCAAGAAAAATATCGCAGGTGATATTTTTAATGTTAGATTCATTAGTGAGTTTTTTTTTTCTTTTTCATTTACTTATAGAACAATTAAAAAAGTATCGGTCGGTTTTTCCCAACAGATGTATGCCTTCAGCCAATGTCCGATTATTTAAAAATATTTTGACTTCTGTTACTATTATACACGTAATGTACCAGATACAGTCGACTGGAGTATTCCATTTTCATGCTTTATCTAATACAGATACAAATATTGGTGTGGCCGAAATTATAAGAAAATCGAAATTTTTCATATTCATCTCAGGATTCTGGTTGAGAGACATATATTTAGATATAGCAAGTTGTAAAGAATCGCTGAGTGGTTTCGCAATTTATGACAGATAAAAGTATTGAGAATTGTGACCCTTTGTGGGTGAGCTACCAGAAGGGGTTCGCAGATATATAGCATCTGCACAACAGATCTTGCGTTAACAAAAATGTTTGTATGTGTGAAATTTGAGGAGAGTTGGATGCTTATTTCGCTTGGTTTTTAAAATCTTGAACCCTATGTGGGGCAGGTAGCAAAATAAATAGTCCGATCTCTCCAATCTTTATAACAGATCTTGTGTTGATGGAAACATTGCGATGTACCAAGTCTGGAATGGAATCGGATGTTGATTTCGCTTTTTATGAGCATTATGGATATACAAAATTTTGAGCCTTTGTGGGGTGGTATCCCATCTTCCCAGATCTTGTGTTAGCAAAAATGTTTGTATGTATTAAATATATAGAGAACCTGATGATTATTTCGGATTTTGTAAATGTTTTGGTCATTCAAATCTTTGACTCTTTGCAGGGTACGAACCAGAGAATGGTCCGCTCTTTACCGTCTTTATAACAGATCCTGTGTTGATAGAAATATTCAGACGTGCCAAGTCTAAATGGAATCGAATGTTAATTTCGCGTCTTATGAGCTCAATGGATATTCGAAATTTCGACCTTTTGTGGGGGAGGTACCAGAATGAGTGGACCGCTATATTCCGTCTTACTACCAGATCTTGGGTTCATAAAAATAGTAGGATGTGTGAAATCTGAAGACAATCGGAATCTTACATCACATTTTATAAGCGTTGTAATTATTCAAAATTTTGACCCTTTTTGGGGGAGGTACTTGATAGAGAGGACCGATATTGTCCATTTCCGCACCAGACCTGGCACTGACGTATATATTAGGATTTGCAAAGTTGGAGCAAAATTGGATTGTCGTGTTTCTTTTTGTGCAGAAAATATATTTTTTCTGAAAATTTCAATCATTTATGGGGGACCTACCAGAAGGAGTGGACCGATATATTCCATCTTAACACCAGACCTTGGGTTAATAAAAATATTGGGATAGTTGAAATTTGAAGTCAATGGGACTGTTACATGACATTTTATAAGCGTTGTAATTATTAAAAATTTGGACACTTTTTGGGGGAGGTACTTGATGGAGTGGACAGATATTTTCTAAAACCGTTATTTCGACTAGGCACGTTTTCACCGTATCAAATGGTATATACCCTCCCTAGCCATATGGCCGAGGGTATAAAAATATCCATGGTGATAATTTTCCTATAGAAAAATATTATTGAGGATAATTTTCTTACAGAAAATATCACTTGTGATAATTTTCTTATAGATACTATCATATAAATATCACTGATGAAGAAATATCACTGGCGATGAGTTTCTCATAGAAAAATGTCACTGGTGATAATTTTCTCATAGAAAAATATCACCGGTGATAATTTTCTCATAGAAAAATATCACTGGTGATAATTTGCTCATAGAAAAATATCACTGGTGATAATTTTCTCATAGAAAAATATCACTGGTGATAATTTTCTCATAGAAAAATATCACTGGTGATAATTTTCTCATAGAAAAATATAACTGGTGATAATTTTCTAATAGAAAAATTTAACTGGTGATAATTTTCTCATAGAAAAATATCACTGGTGATAATTTTCTCATAGAAAAATATCACTGGTGATAATTTTCTCATAAAAAAATATCACTGGTGATAATTTGCTCATAGAAAAATATCACTGGTGATAATTTTCTCATAGAAAAATATCACTGGTGATAATTTTCTAATAGAAAAATATAACTGGTGATAATTTTCTAATAGAAAAATATAACTGGTGATAATTTTCTAATAGAAAAATATCACTGGTAAAAAATTTCTCATAGAAAAATATCATTGGTGATAATTTTCTCATAGAAAAATATCATTGGTGATAATTTTCTCATAGTAAAATATCACTGGTGATAATTTTCTCATAGAAAAATATAACTGGTGATAATTTTCTCATGGAAAAATATGACTGGTGATAATTTTCTCATGGAAAAATATGACTGGTGATAATTTTCTAATAGAAAAATATCAGTGATAGAAAAATATCAGTTTAGAAAATTTTAATTTTCCGCATTAAAAGATACAACTTTATCACAAAAAATATCGCTAATGACAATTTTATAATGTGACTGGTGATAACTTTCTCCTATTTTATTTCTATATTCCCTTAAATTTAAACCACCCATTATTTTGTTTGTTATTCTTCTCCTTGTTATTGTTTATTGTTTATTTTCTGTTCATGCAAAATCTGTTTAAATCAAACAATTTTATTGCATAAATAAACCACCATAAAAGGAGAAACAACACAATACACATAAAACCTCTGGAAAAACTGACATATTCGTAATTGAACAAACAAAAAACATGTACTATGGATATTATATACCCCAAACGCCTGAAAGAAAGAAAAGTGAAATATCTTTTGTTTTTGTTAAGATTTTTCCACACCCATGGCGCTTAAAGTTTTCCATTTCATTTGTTGTTGTCGTCGTCATCGTCGTCGCAAGTGATAACATTTTTCCCAATGTCTTTTTAAATGGCAACGCCGTGGTACAAACGAGTACCACAACAAGATATCGTCAACATATCACTCACTGAGTCTTTTATTATGCTCTGTGGTAACAAGATGAAGGAGAAAGACGGAGGGGATAAAGCCAAAAAAATATTGGAAATATCCAAGGAAAACGTATCACAAATATTTGTATAAAATTCCCCTGATGGCGCCAAACTTTCAACTCTTCCTTTTTTTGGAGCAATGATGCACCACCACCAGCATAACCACTTGAAATGGATGCGACGACTCTTTGAATGCATGGAGTTATGCGATACATTGCAAAGATGGCTGGCTAGATATCCAACAGTGTAAACTTATATAAATATACCATGAGCATATGGAGAGCGACCGAACGGGGTGTATGTGAGCATGTTGCGTATGGTATTTTCCTGTTGATGACGATGGTGATATGTTGATGTCGATTTTTAAGATTTGTTGTGGTTGTTTATTTTTTGTAGTTGTTTTGGATTTTTAAGTTTCCTTGCGATGTAAACAGAGAGTTCATATTTGAGAAAATGTGGAAAGTGTTACATCTGTTAGGAAAATCAGGAGCGCAACACAGTGTCACCATTCCAAAGAGAAGGCCAATTTCGAAGAACGTTAAAGAAGGTTTAAATGTCGAATTCGAAAATTGATTGTTATCGCTTATCTCTCGGTCTTTCCCATAGTAAAATTTTATTTCCCTAGATATTAATTTAAATTCTTTACGATTATTAGACAAATACAACGATAAACTCAATAGGGGAAGGGAAAAATCTATGGTTGAGATTGGTAAATTGCCATAAAAGATATCCAATGCACATTTGCATTTTACCAACTCAGCAAGATATAGAGGGATAGCACGAGAGAGTTAATATACTTTTATTGCCACAAGGAAATAATTTGGTGACATTTGGATTGTTTAACAGTTCGTGGTATTGCAATTTTACTCTATTTTGGTTTCGAAATTCGCCATAACTGTTTATTCACTTGACTTTTTTGTTTGCCCGTAATGTTGAATATTTGTCTTTAAGTTCTATATGCTGATGCCGCGCCAGCAAGCAAATGTAAAATATAGAGAAAACGTGCGAAATCCAGCTGTGCTTCTTTTCTTTGGGTTGTTGTCTAAAATTGTTTCTCTTCTTTTGTTTGTTTTCGTTCTTTTTTCCTTTGAGTATTTTTTTTTTCTTTTTTTTTTTTTTTTTGCTAGTTATGGTTTTGATTTTTATTTGACTGTTCAGTTGATTTTCCTATCAACTTGATGGGAAATTCCATTGTATGTTTGCCGAGGAAAAGAAGAAGAAACCACCAGCACTGCACTGTGCAAATATGTGCACAAAGTGCACCATACTTGTTAGGCGAAGAGTCTGCACTTTTTGTTAACCTCAAATTTTCGGTAGTTAAATTTTATGTGAGTTCTGACATTGTATGGGAATTGTTTGGAAATAGTCTTTATTATGGGTAATTTTAAGTAATTTTTAGCTGGTTTATTCTCCTGATCGCCAATTAGTTTTAATTAAAGAAATTTTTTTTCTTTTTTTAAATCCTAAAATTATTCAACGTTTTTGAAGTAGTAGTAGTAAATTCAAAGAAAAGCCTATATTGTTTAAGGGAAAATCTGTAACTATCCTAAAAGTATGCAAAGTTTTTGAATTGAGATAATATGTCTATGTTACAGAAGCACTATTTAACAACGTAATATTCTCTTTGAGAGAATAAAAATAAAACTTCTAGATGAGGATCACAGTATGTCTTTCATGACCCCTAGACTATCGAAATACCGGTCCCAAAGAAGAGAAGCTTTAATATATATGTATATATATATATATATATATATATATATATATATATATATATATATATATATATATATATATATATATATATATATATATATATATATTTTTTTTTTTTTTTGAATTCCATCTTTTTTCTAAGAAAACTGTCTTCAATTTTACATTTCAAAAATTTCACAGTTTAAAACTTGTCCATTAAATATTTGTTTAAAATCTTTTTAGTATTTTTTTGCACTTTTATCCTTAGTAAAAGGCTGAACATATCATAGGAGAACACAAATTCTTCTTAGGGAAGAGATTTACTTATGATCCTCTCGGAGATAAACACAAAGATTTCTTGTAGAAGAGCAGTAGGTTCTCTCGAAAAAGAGTATAACAATTTTTCGAAGAAGAGCAGAAGGTATTATTGGAGAAAATATGCCTTCTCAGAGAAGAGTTCATTGTCTTTAAGAGATCTCAAAGTGTTCTCGGAGGAGAGCTCATTATATCCTCAGGAAAAATAGAAGCTCGTAAGCCGGAAGAGAAAAAGGTATTATCAGAGAAGAGCCGATGGTCTTCTCGGAAAAGAGCAAAAGTTCTACTCGGATAAGGGCAGAAACTCTTCCCGGAAAAGGGCAGAAGTTTTTTTTCTGAAAAAAAAAAACAGAAGGTCTTCTTATGTTGACGACCACGACTTCTCGGATTACAGCAAAAAAAGTGAGTTTCACACAGAAGAGCTGAAGCAGGTCTTCTCACATAGAAGAGTTGAAGCAGGTCTTCTCATATAGAAGAGCTGAAGCAGGTCTTCTCACATAGAAGAGCTGAAGCAGGTCTTCTCACATAGAAGAACTGAAGCAGGTCTTCTCATATCGAAGAGTGGAATAAATTTTTCTCATATAGATCTCTTCTTCAAAGAAGAGTCTTCTCACACAAAAGAGCTGAAAGATATATAGAAAGGCAAGAGGATACATTTTTTAGAAAAACACTTGAATGTCTTTTCATGTAGATGAGCAGTAGAAGAGCATTAATATGCCTTCTCATATAGAAGAGAATTGGAAGGACTAGAAGGTCTTCTCATTTAGAACACTGGAAGATCTTCTTATGTAGAAATGTATCTTTTAGAGAGAAAAAATATTTCTACAAGAAATCGTAACATTTTACCAGAATAAACATGTGTCTATTACTAGTCTTTTCTTTTAGAAGAACCTATTTCCACAATGCTATTACATTTTCCCGCTAAAGATACGCACCACCCGAGAAAAATTCATAAAAAATGGTAGCACTATTTTTTTCCTTTCATTCTCGTCAGCGTATTCGCAAATCACAAATACCTCAGCCACCAATCAATCACTTACATATATCACTCCCCTCAATCTCATATATCTCTCCCACTGAAATCATAAATGTTAACAGCTTCCGTTAACCACCTTCCCGTGCGTTTACATGTGTCAGCAAATGACCGGTAGGTTGGTTGCCCACCACTACCTACCATCAAATCATAATGGTCAATACGTCAACCACTCAAGTCAATTGACCCATCTTTGTAAACATATCACGTTCGACACAACTTGAACTTGTACTTGTGCGAGTATTTCCGAGAAGTATCATTCATATTTTGGGGCAAGTCAAAATATTCCCTAAACGTTAGGTTAGCTCTTGTGGCGTTCAATCAAAACGAGATGGGTACACATACATGTGGGCATGTGTGTGTGTGTGCGAGAAAACAACTTACCTTCTACAATTAGTTTAGCATAACTGGACTCTCGGGTACCGACAATATTTTGAGCGATACACTTATAGTTGCCTTCGTCAATTGGTTCAACGTTGCTTATCAATAAATTGCCACCATCGACAATGCGTATACGTGACGTGGTTCCATAAGATTTCGTCTTTAAATCGTCCAAAGGAACGCCATCCTGTGAAACGAAAGAAGAGGCAAATAGAGGAGAAAAAAGAGAAAAAAAAAAAAAAGATAAACATAAGCAGATGGTTTAGGGTTATCGTATACGAAAAGAAATTGTTTTATCTTTTATGGCATACATGTTTATAAATATGTATTTGTAGTGCGAGTGTGTGTGGGTAAATATTGACGTTATGCTTGTTTTTGGTATGCTACACTTACGAGAGTTATAAAATTTCATATTTCAAAAGTCATGCATCATAAGTATTCAGAATTGGATTTTACAAAAATAAAAAGGGATTGAGAAACAAATAGCTGGTGTATTTGCAAATCAAGTTAGATGTTCTGGGGTAAAGCTTTGGGAATTATTCAAAAAACACAATATTTTTACACAAACAAATATTTATATTTTTTTATATAAAACGTAATGATTCTCTTTGTTATCATGAAAGAGTAAAAAATTTTCACAAAGAGGACAAAGAGGCCATCGTCTAGATAGCCTCAGGGCCAAGTTATTAAAGTTTATTGAGTCGTCTCATATAATATTCAAGATGACATTCAAAATTTATGAAAAGATCTACAGACCCATATGATTTCATTAAGACATATTTTCTGATGCAACAAAAAGGTTATCTGTGATAACCCCAAAGGATTTCTGAGTGAAAATATATAGGTCGTATATAAAAGGACCCAAAATACGTGGGAAGCCAAATGAAATTCTATGGAAAGGGTCGTAGGGGTTCCCTAAGGAAGTCAAATTGTCTTCAACGAGAGGAAAAGTGGGATTTCTTAGAACGGGTGGGTCTAATGGGCTTCTATGAGAAGAAGTGTGGTATTCTGTAAAAAGCCGATACCGATAATATCACCCTCTCTTCCATTCGTAATTTTCGAATTTTATAAAAAAAACAAAGTTATTCTGAATTGTTTTAAGTCTATGTCCACCTGTGCCTTTTTTTCTAAATTCGAAAATAAAAAGTAGCGATAATATTCGCAAAAAATCGAAAAGAATTGCAAGCTCCGAATTTCGAAAAACATGACATGTTATGCTGAATTGTATTCCGTGGAAATTTTTTCGATATCATCCAAGATTTTCGAAAATATAGCAATTTTTGAATAAATGGTAGAAATGCAATTTTAGAATTTCGAAAAATATGAAAGTTCTGCCAAGTTGAGGGAATTTATGGTCATTCGGGCCGCCTAAATCTTTCGATATTTTTTACTATTTTCGATGCAAGTCTATTTTCGAAAATATGCCAAAACTCCAATTTCTAAACTTTTGCCGTTAAAGTTTTCAAGATATGCCAATTTTGAGAAAAATAAGTATTTTTTTTAGAAAAAGTCGAAATTGATTTTTGTTTTTTTTTCCAAGCTCCAAAATTGAAATTCAGGTATTTAAAAAAATAGCTTTCAATATCTCTGTAATTTTTTGAAAAATAATCAGTATAACTTTCTTTTTTTTGGAAATTCGCAGACATTGTATCCAAATACCATATTCATTTGGATCGGAATTTTATTCATTTCCCCTATTAATTTTTGAATTTTTTCCCGTTGTTTTTTACACTTCAGCATCCCAAACATGACATAACCATGCCATATTAAGTCTGCTTTGTTCAAAAGTGAAGCAACATACAATTGGAATATTATTCAAATTCCATTCCATTTTGTATTTTCGCCATTTGTTGGAAATAAATTTTGCATGACATTTCCATTTGGCTAACGTCCATCCCTTTTCGCTCAACCTTCTTCTTATCATGGCACTTGCTGGTGGCACAGGTGTCGTTAACAAAAATCTATACATACGTATAGAATTTTATTGCATATTTTGCGGGAGAAGGAGAGAGGGAGCAAAACATAAATAAAGTAAAGTATATTTGAAACATTTTTGGAACAAATATTAAATTTATTGTCGGATTCTACACAAATATAAGGAAAAATGCTTTCTCTTTAAATCCTTTCAATGGTAGTCTTATGCTCCTGAAGATATGCAATATTTTGTGTGATTTGATTGAGCTTTACGATTCATACCAAGTATCATAGATGGTATATTTCACTTCCTGGTGAATGTGAATATTTTATGCATGATTTGAATATGCGTTGGCTGCAATGGGAAATCATGCATCCCATTTAGTTGGTGAAAAAGGGATAATGTGTGCACCATAAGAATAAACTGCTATTGTTTTTACATACCTATGTACTCTCCACACACACATTTACAAATATATACTTAATAATGTCTCATATATGTGATATTACAAAATGGCATTTCAGGAAACCCAAAGATGTTAGGGCACAAACTTACCTTCATCCATATTAATGTTGGCTCCGGAATACCTTTTGGTGGCCCACATTCCAACAATGCTGTTTCTCCTTTGGCCACACGTGTATCCTTTGGCTGTGGGCGAAAGTCATCACGCAAAACTGTAACGACACACAGAGAGAGGGGGAAACAAAGAGAAAGCATGAGTAAAAAAAAACCTGAGCGGAAAATATTTAAATAAAAAATGTCATAAATGAAATCTCACAGGGCGCTCCAGGGAGGACCGCGAGAACGAGACATAGAAGGCAAACAAAATGTAAAACGACTATTATTTCTCATACATATCTCCAGCAGATGTTTGGAAAATTTAGTTTTTTTTTCTCCACCACATAAAATTGAAAGGAGAAATTATGCTAGCTAATGCTGTTGGATATTTTCCAAAAAAAGGCAAATAAACGACCACCACCGCAGCAGCAGCGTCATCTGGTGGCTGCCTAGTTTGCTTTTTCGTTTTCTTGCTTTTAAATCATTTGTTTGAAATTTAAAATATGAAATGCCGGCTTGAGAAAAACAAATGTTATGACGTTATTTTTTGTGTGGAACAAATTGCCCCCAAAAGTAGGCCACAAAAGCAAACAAATAAAAAGCAAATGCATGATACACTGCTAGGCATTTAATTTGTTGCTTGGCTAGTTGACCTAAATGTATGCTACAATATATGGTTTTTTGTATCAACATTGCTTAGTCTTTGATGAGAGTAAAATGGAAAAAATAATTAACGTTCAGCCTCAACATATGTTGCAAAGATGTTTTATTTTTTACTAATTAACCTAGAAGTAGGCTATGAGAAAAATGGATATTATTTAAATAACCAAAATAGTGACGAGGCATATAAACTAGATTAATTTTTTGACTACTGAAATCTTTTATTCCAAATATTTCCTCTCAAAAATCAGTTTCTCTGCTCTCTTAATTTCTCTACTTAAACATTAGCATAACAAACTATACAGCAATAAATTTTTGCAATTATTTTAATGAGTATGGTAAAGAAACACCACCACTTGCTTTATTATAAAGCAAAATGCCAAGCGCTTTTGGAAATTCCAAAAGCAAAGGAACGAGTAACAGCAAAAATTCCCCCAAAAATTATGCATTGCCAAAGTTCGTGGCACAGCTGATATATACATTAATTTGGAAAATATTTTAAAACTATGCATATTCATTCATTAGTAAAATTATGCTAACCTCAAATTTGCACATGGCTGAGCATTAGAAATTACTAGGTGGTTGAGTCAGTAGCTGCTGAATAAATGTTAGGAAAATGAGTGAATGAATTTTCTAAATCCAAAATGAAGGCATGAAGAAAAATGTTTGGTTTTAGCTTTTGATTTTTGATAGATAGCTCGTTTGAGTGAAATCATAAGCCTTGACATAGGAACATTCTATTTAAGCCTAAAAATATGCAAATCACATTGTACATTATTAAAATGGTCTTTAATGTGGTACAGAAAATGAAAATGGAAATGAGCCGAGAAATGTTTTATATAATTTAATCAAAATGTTTAAAATTTTAATTGAGAGGAAACGACAAGGATAACTGAAAATATGTGGAAAATCTTTTCGACAACGAGATTTTCAATATAAAATCGAGACAGACTTAGCTTTTCTTTGTAAAATTGGGTCCAAAAAATTGTCGATATAATTGATAATGAAAAATACTGAACATGTGGAGGGGAAATAGGGAAACTTCTTATCGAAATAAAAAAAAAATAATAAAAAAAATTTGTCGACAACTAGTTATTATTTAAATATTGTTTCCGACAAGAAGATATTTTCTATAGAAAATATTGTTGATTATAATATTTCCTATAGAAAATATTGTTATCGATAACAATAATTCCTATATAAAATATTGTTATCGATAACAATAATTCCTATATAAAATATTGTTATCGATAACAATAATTCCTATAGAAAATATTGTCGATAAGAATATTTCCTATAGAGAATATTGTCGACAAGAATATTTCCTATAGTAAAATATTGTCGATAACACTATTTTCTATGGAAAATATTATGGATACCAATATTTTCTATGGAAAATATTATCGATTATAATATTTTGTATATATTGTCGATAACTATATTTCCTACAGAAAATACAGTCGATAATTATATTTCCTATAGAAAATATTGTCGATAAGGATGTTTCCTATAGAAAATATTGTTAATAACAATGTTTCCTATAGAAAATATTGTCGATAACAATATTTTCCATAGAAATTATTATAATCGATAATATTTTCCATAGAAACTATTGTCGATAACAATATTTTCTATGGAAACAATTGTCGATAACAATATTTTCTATGGAAACAATTGTCGATAACTATATTTCCCATAGAAAATATTGTCGATAACAATGTTTCATATAGAAAATATTGTCGATAACAATGTTTCATATAGAAAATATAGCCGATAACAATGTTTCCTATAGAAACTATTGTCGATAACAACGTTTCCTATAGAAAATATTGTCGATAATATTTTGCATAGAAAATATTGTTATCGATAATATTTTTCATTAAAACTATTGTCGATAACAATATTTTCTATAAAAAATATTCTCGATAACAATATTTTCTAAAAAAATATTCTCGATAACAATCTGTCCTATAGAAAATATTGTCGATAACAATATTTTCTATGGAATATATTGTCGATAACAATATTTTCTATGGAAAAAATTGTCGATAACAATATTTCATATGGAAAATGTTGTCGATAGCAATGTTTTCTAAAGAAAATATTTCCTATAGCAAAGTTTTCTGTAGAAAATATTTCCGATAACAATGTTTTCTATAGAAAATATTTCCGATAACAATGTTTTCTATAGAAAATATTTCCGATAACAATGTTTTCTATAGAAAATATTTCCGATAACAGTGTTTTCTATAGAAAATATTTCCGATAACAATGTTTTCTATAGAAAATATTTCCGATAACAATGTTGTCTATAAAAAATATTTCCTATAACAAAGTTTTCTATAGAAAATATTTCCGATTACAATGTTTTCTATGGAACATATATCCGATAACAATGTTTTAATGAAAATATATCCGATATAGGAAATGTTATCGATAATTACACTTTTTATTGCAAATACGACCAAAAATAACATTCTCCGCGAAAAGGTTATCGACAAGAACATTTTCTTTATAAAATCGTATTGACAACATTATTTGTTAGAGAATTTCTATTTTCCTTAATTTTATTTTCTAAAATCCCAAAGCAGCATGTGACACTTGGCAGCCTGTTCTTCATAGCCATATCGATTCCATGTGTGGAGTTTTCCATTCCACATCACTAAAACATGAATAAGAATGAAACTTACACCAGCACCTCGTGTCATTTTAAAATTAGCCCTGCACACGTCTGGATATTAGCTCTTAAGTTATGACTTCTTACAGAAAAAAAACACATGTTTCTTGCCCCCTAAGAGAAGAATCCATAATTTTAGATATTTGTTCTCGGTAAAAGAAAAACAACAACTACAAAAAAGAAAAACAGTAAGACAGACAGAACAGACAAAAATATGTACCTTCAACAAATGTTCAATTGAAGAAGCAGACGAAAGCAATGTGAAGGAAGACATAAAAATCGTATTTGAAAACACAACATCACATCAACAGAGATGTAAAAAAGATGGATGACAATTTCAATAAAGATAATAATGAAGATATGCATAATGATCATTATCCTCCTAACACACCCCCATTGTCTTCTTTCACTAGCACCAACAGAATATTTTTTTATAGTGGAGTTTAAAACAACAGTGGATTAAAGTCTAGGGCACCACACTATAAAGTTGTAGGAGACAATGATGCTGCGGATGCTGGTATTGCCTCTGAAGAGGTTTTGCTTTTGTTGTTGTTGTTATTTTTATGATTATTTTTTTCCAAGTTCTATTTGTGTAGATTTTGCCCCGATGCCTGAAGAAGAATAACATTCACATTTTTTTCCTGGGGTAAAACAATGATGCCGTTGCTGATGACTGTGGTGGCTCTGACTGGATTGTGCTTGGCTGTTGCTGCTGCCTGGCTGGTGTTTATTTTTTAGCGGTGGTGGAATCGTCACTATCACCGCCGCTGATTGATAACACTGCGGGCGGTCGTTTGTAGTGATATTGTTTGTTGTTATTGTTGTCTTACTTCTTGCATTCACAATAAAGCATACGAGGTCTTCGTGGAATTTATTATGGGAGTGCGGAAGATGGGAGATTCCTTAAATAATATTTTTTTTAAAGACTATGATATTATTCGTAAAACTTTCTTTATGGAATATCCGATTATCAATTGTATTTCAGAAAAATCGGATCGTAAAAAAATTCAAAGAAACCAAGTAAAATAGTATCAGTCGGTTTTGCCGACATATTTATACCCCAGCCTTTAGTTATTATTATTCAAATTGTTGACCCGTTATGGGCGAGGTTATAAATTATTATATATTACAACATGCCAGATTTGAACTATATGAGATATGTGCAAATTTTTGGAAAATGTGAAAATATACGTGAGGTAACAAATATAGCGGACCAAAGTATTTCATTTTCTTACTTCATCTAAATCGAACATTTATATCCAATTTTATGCGAAATCATAAACTCCGATGAATGACATATTCATATCAGACTTCTGGTTAAGAAAAATATTTGGATATAGCAAGTTGTAAAGAATCGCCGACTTCGCAAGTTATGACAAATATAAGTATTAGAAATTGTGACCCTTTGTGGTTGAGGTACCAAAAGAGGTTGGCAGATATATATCATCTTCACAACAGATCTTACGTTAGCAAAAATATTTGGATGTGTGAAATTTGAACCCTATGTGGGAGAGGTAGCCCGATCTACACCATCATTATAACAGATCTTGTGTTGATGGAAATATTGAGATGTACCAAGTCTAGATGGAATCCGATGCTATATTCGCGTTTTATGAGTTTCACGGATATTCAAAGATTTAAGCCTTTGTGGGGGATGTACCAGAAGGAGTGGACCGATATATTCCGTCTTCACATCAGATCTTGGGTTAACACAAATATTGTGATGTGTCTAATTTGAAGAGAGTTGGATAGTTATTTCGGATTTTATGATCGTTTTGG